TGTGAATCGGAAGAATCATATAAAATTGTGGAAGTTCGCAGATGAAGCATTAAAGTATGGTTCTCATATTTTACCGAGGTACTGTGTAAGTTTATCTCATGGCTTATTTGGTTGTCCCCACCTATGTTTCGTTTGCAACAGTACTTATGAGACAATTATTTTATTATTTTCTTTCCAGTATGAAAAGCATTACTATGGTGTATTCATAAGAAGAGCTGCAGGTTTTCCTACATTCGTCATTGTACTATTGCGATACACACCACCTAACTTCGTTCTGGACTTCAGATATATTTGTTCTTCAGTTACTGTCCGACTAGCATATCCTTCGATTCCTAATTTACCGGCTAATGATCTATTACGGTGTCCTGAAATACATCTTGTTAACAGTACATTGAGTAATCAAATTATAGTACTTCAATGTAACTAATTGATTTTGATGAAGTTCATTTCTCAATAAATACGTAATAACTTATTTCTGGTCCAATATATTCTCAGTGTTGATTCTTTTTATTTATTTATTTTTAAATGAACATAATTTTCTTAGACGTTTCATCATTTAATTAATGACAAAGTAAAAGCTCACCCAATTGCCATTTATTGATCGATCGACTAGTATAAATTATTCTGAAGAACACTGCTTTATACATCGAATAAAATTTATCATTCTGATGAATTTCATACAAGCAATTATGACATAAGAAACGAAATTTAGCAAATTCACAAATATTGATATAGTTATAAGCAAAGATGGATAGTGGCTAGCAGTGGAATCCAGAATGCGCGTTTCGTCGTATTTGAGACTCGTCATTTGGATGTACCTGCATCTCAGACTTAATGTTCACTCTGGGACTCGAACCTAGTACCGTTCGCTTCAAACGCCATCGTGCTATCCACTTATTTACTGAGTCCTGATAGCCACTTGCTTATGCAATGGGGTGAAGTTTACTAGTATTTTACCTGAATCTTCCCAATGTCAAATGAATTTAAACTATTATTTGTTTTATCCCTTATACTAACTAAAGCGTTTGTAAGAGGATGTTAGTGACTTTGTAGTATGATTTAATTGTGTTGTACATGAGGCTCTTTAAAGTTCTGTTGTACCGTGGTGGCATGATAAAACTACAGTACTAACCCATAGTATTTCCTTCGGATTATTGTTTAGCAGTAAAATGTCTCGTTTTATTGTACTTTTAGTAGTTTTCATAGGAAAGTTATTAAGTTATAAGATGTTAATTATAAGAGTTTGTTTATTTCGTGTATCCTCTTCAGATGTAATAATCTTGCATGCTTTTCTGAAAAAATTTAGGTCCAGAGAGATTTTTTCACTAAATGAATATGCTGGTTTGAAGTCGATATACCGATTTGAGTGTGTTGGTTTTCTGTAAATGGTTAGATTTAGAGTTCCATTTAAATCTTTCTTAACTAAGCAATCTAAAAATGCCAGCCCATCGTATTTATTTTTACTTTTTGAAGTGAATTTAATGTTGAATGATAGTCTATTGACCAGTTTAGAAAAATATAGTAGGTAAGTCTTTTTTATGATAACAAAAGTATCATTCACATATCTAACCATCTATCGAAAACCAACACATCTCGTTAAATCTTGACTTGACCCAAAGAGTATCGAATCTATACAAAAAATCACCTTATAATCCTGTAGAACTTAAAAAACTAAACTAAATCAGCATAAGGTTTGTATTGACATCCCCTTTATTTTAGTATCTTTGCATGAAGAATTAATGCTCATCATTGTCTAATTTTATTTTAACTTTATTGTGATGATACTACCTATTACTAGTAAGTAGCTTGTTATATTCAACTATTTATGTCGTTTGAACAGCAATGTGTGATGGTTAAGTGTCATAATCAACTATTTATGTCATCTATGTATAATCCGAGTTTGATATTCCAAATCTCTCTTCCAATTTCAATAGTATCTTCTGGCTTTATATGATCTGTTCTTCTTTATATGCATCATCTCTTTGAAATGTTTTATTCGGGACAGTTGATCTGCGGTCGAATTCACGATATTTCCTGATATCCTAGTAAGCGTGAGAACTCCACAGACATCACACCACTATGAGTACCAAGCAAAGTTAGCGATAGTGTTGCTGAACCGAATGGAAGACTCAGAAGACCCACAGCATCGAGATCAACAGGCTGGCTTTCGTGAGGATCGATTATGTTCCGATTACATTGCAACAAACGGTTCATTGTTGAACAAACAACGGAATGGAACTCATCACTATAGACCAACTTCCTTGACCATGAGAACGCATTTGACAACGTTGATAGGAGAACCTTATGCAACGTTCTTCAATGGTATGATGTACCTGAGATCGTCAACATCATACGGAATTCTTATGACGCACTACACAAAAAAGTCATGCATGGAAGGCAGCTCACAGATGCATACTGGGTGGAAGTCAGTGCTAGATAAGGCTGACTGTTCTTACCTTTTCTCTTCTTTCAAGTGGTTAACATGACTATGAAGATCTCCATATTTCCGAAAAAGCACGCAACACAATGGACAGCTTGCATGCAGCTAGACAGTTCGGACTTCGTAGATCACCTAGTCCCTCTATCCCGTACACAGCAACAAATCCACGTGAAAACAGACAGTTTAGCACCAGCCTCTACACCAGAAAGTTTCAACATTAACAAGGGAAAGAACAGAAAGGTCTTCACATGTGACACAATCAACCCCAACCAATTCACACTTGATGGAGAAGCTCTGGAAGAGGCGGAAACCTATACATATATGGGAAGCATCGTTGATAGCTACGACGTATGACCAGGCACATATGTTCATCGATTCAAATTGCCACACCTCATTAGCACAACAAGATGAACACCAAATTCATAAATCTAGATAATTCAATCGTAGTAATATATTAAAGGAAGATTGTGTATAAGGATAAACAAGGAGGGTGTGAAGACACGGATTGGAAAAACAACGGCACCATTCCTACAGGTGAAGAACATCTGAGACTAAAAACAACTATCAGCCAACATCAAGGTCAGAATCTTCAATACAAATGTCAAGACAGTTCTGCTGTGCGGGGCTGAAACTTGTATAGCAACTACACAACCATCATCAAAATGATACAGGTATTTACCAACAGTTGTCTATGCAAGATACTCCAGATCTGTTGGTCAGATACCATCAGTATTCCGGTATATAAGAAACCAGACTATAGCTGAGGAAGGAATAAGGAAAAAAATGCTGGAGACGGATAGGCTATACTACGGATATCATCAAACTGCATCACGAGGCAAGCGCTAACTTGCAATCCTGAAGGAAAAGGGAAGAGACAGATTCAAGGACATATTGAGCTGGGAATCGGAGGTGAACATCGAAAGAATGAATAGCACTTGAATACAAATAGAAAGGAGAGCCCATGAGTTGGTTGGAGATTCTGGGTCAGCATCCTACGTACTATGAGGGGTAATAGGTGTGAGTAATTTGCTTATATTAACATTTAATAGACCCTATATTGTTTTCTGCTTTATAATATATGTTGTAGTTTTCTTTTATTATTATTGTTTGAATGAACCTATCCCTCACCATCATTATTTGATGAACCACAGGTTGTAGACACTGAATTAACTAAGTGGAATGAAATTGTTAACAAAAGTGATTTAAAAACTGAAGGTGGAGATATGTTTTGTTATGTCGATAATTATACATTAATATGTATACTGTATGTGCTTTTCTGAATACGATACATAGTAGAGAAACAATATCTATGAAAAATAATAATCGTAAAAGGATTAGTTTAAGCTAAATCCAGTCATAGTTAGACTTGGTATAGCAATCAATTACAGGATCAAAATGCATTATTATCTGTCAACCTGACAGAAAATATGGATGTGCATCGGCTGTACTTCTTACACAGAATGGCCAAGTCGACTATCATAAATAACATACTATTCAATACTGAGTTACGGGAACTTAGTAATGCACCGACATACGATCAATAGTTACACCTAACGCTCGACGGAAACTTTTATATCTTGCATGTCTTAGCTTCAAGAGGTTTCGGGTCTCTAATTTAGCTTGCGAGGTAGATTCCATGTTGGTCAATATCTTAAGACATCAAAAAGCCGAGCCCTTTGAGAACCTGTTCATTCGGTATATTTTATTCGACGATTGTCCACTACTAATTGAACCAACAAAACTAAAATCTAAGAACAAGGTGTAATCCAACATCACAGGCAATCTAGCACAAATGAATATTATTTTACAGATGCATTGTTTAGGAATATATTTTATTATTCAATGATTCTTTAGTGAAGCTAACAAACTACTTATCTCCAAAATAATTTGAGGTATGACCATTGTCATACCATATGGTTTAATAACAGCTTCGAAATAGTGTCAAATTGTTTAGAATACAGAGGACATAATGTCAATTGTCGCCAGTAATTGGGGGTTGGGAAAGTTTCGATTTTACTATTTACTGTTAAATGCATTATAGATAGCATTGTTAAGCTAATCCTGAGTAAATTTATGATAGAAGCTTGTGTTAAGTACAGGTGGAACTATCAGTCGTGAACATTCGGTGGACCCCCTACTAGAAAATAAAAGACTAGTGAAACTGCACTTGGTCACCTGACGGTCAATAACTATGACTATGATATGAGCTCCACTTAATTTTGTGAGTTTCAAAGACCTTTGTTTCTACATTCACTGTCTGAATTAGCTGAGAGTCTATTTTCTCGATAGTTGTAGCTACGATGTACTGGCATTAATAATACACTAATGATTGTATGAACGTGTAACTGATTGGAACGAATACAATAAGTTTGCATATAATTTGACAGTTCTCATAAAATAGTTAAGGAAATCCATGTTATTCATGCTAAAATGATAAGTTGTACTAAATGACGGAACATTGTCGGAATTAAATGAGGTGCATATTATGAGTGTACTGTGTGAAAAGTAAATGGTGTTTAAACGGAGTGAAAACTAAAACAGTCCCATCAAAAGAATCTTGTCAAAGGTTAACTAATTTATTTATACAATGGCGAAATTACATGATTGGTTAACTTAGTCTAGACAACATGTATATACAAAAGGAAAAGTATTACACAAAATGCTATTTGAGGCGCCAATGTTCCAAGGCCACACTGTCTTCATCTGTAGAGGGACGTTGTTTTTTAACACCATCTGCACTTGTTGTTACCATTTTTTCTTCTTCAGGTATAGTCCTAACAAGCCGACCTTTGTACGGTCCTAGAAGTACAGCATCTGCTTCAAAAATTGAAACGCCTTTAGTGTTTACCATAAATTTGTCTGTTAACTCGGGATTTTTTAAGCGTATACGCACTAAGCTTCCACGTGGATAAAATTGGTTAGCCGGTTGATGACAAACACAGTGAAATTTCCCACCAAAATCTATGTAAAGATCAGTGTCATCCACGTTGTCAATAACAACACCAATTAGCTAATTAAAGAGAATAAAAACCTAAAATACTATAAGAGAAATTTACAACTAAGCAAGACAAAAATACGTAAAATAAGATACAAATTTTTAATATGTCCCTACCAAATGGATTTACTATGATAAGGAAAGTTCATGTTACGTAGTGTACTACGAAACGCTAACGTGACTAAGAAGTATAAGTTACTACTAAAACAGCTTAAAACCATAATAGCCCCAGCGAATACATACAAATTGCGATGATTTAAAGCAAAATATTTACTATTTAGAGTCAGATTGAGAAATTACGTAATATCAATGGATATTGACCATTATTATACAGAACAAGCTCACGCAATGATTCCGCCGCAGATAAACAATAATTCGAACATATCAATGATCAATCATTGTTAATAATCTAATAGTGTTTTCCTCATAAAAACAACATTCATTCGGTGGAATACACAACAGACATCCCAAACAAATATGAGATTAAAAACTGCACCAGTATTTGAACGAATGGACTTGAAACATAATGAGAATTTAGCTTGAAATGTTCATAAAACATGTCTTATAAGCGTCTTTATCGATATACTTTAATGTGATCGCCCAGTCAGTGATAACAAGAGGGGTTACGGGCGAAAAATGCTTTCTCACAAGACCACAGATAAAAAAGTTGAACAGATATGAAAATAGCAGACAAAATTAGACATTACCCGTGGTAGACAGACAAACAGACAGAAATCATCAACACAAAGCCTGGTACAAATCTACACAGGCCCAAGTTATCGTACTACATTTGTACGACGAAATGGAAATCACAAAACAGATAGAAGTAGTGTAATAACAATGACAAACGGAAATACTAAACCTAAGGAGTATCCTTTGAAAAGGCTGAGTAAAAAGGTATGCATAAAGAGATATTGGGATTTAAAACCGAACTCAAACTTTTCAAACAATGACTGCGATTATCATGTGGACCCCAATCAGACAGTCTGGATTTATCAGCATAACTCAGACCAATAGTCAATTAATTCATGAACTAACCGGTGCCACGTTTTCATTTGGCCGCCCTTAGCTTTCTTACAGCCTACTTCTGTACTAACAAGTATCACTCAAAGTAGGTGATGGTTAAGCATACTAACACATGTCCTAACCACATCAGTTGACGAAGACCTAATAACTCATTAACTGATTCGCCACATCTGCCAAGTACCCTATGTCTAACCACAATATTGCTCAATCTGTAATTCCACGATACGCGAACAATGCTTTGAAGACGCTTATGATCAGAAACCTTCAACCTACGAATTTCCCCGACTTTCATGTAGCATGTTTTACAGTCACAAAAGTGGTAACTTGTATGATATCTCTCAGTTGCTTTGGGGGCGTATGAGCTATATTCGACAAAACAACAGTGTAGCGTACTCCCCCAGAACTTCAATTAATGTTAGACACTGTTGAAGAACTCGATTAGTCCTGCCAAATACCGCCTTTATATTGAGAAATGTGGTCAGAGTAAGTACCTTATGACCATGTTTCTTTGTTCTAGAACCTGATGGAGTAACGAAGCATCCAAAATGATCACAAATCGAACTACTTTACATGGTCATTCATTCTAAACCACGCGTTGCGTTGAAGATTATCGCTAACATATTTTAAACAATTTGTAAATTGCAATGATTACTCTTCCGTAATCACCAGATTCGTCCATTGTTACGAAACAAAATGATCGATGAACCTTCGAAACCTGATTAATTTACAACTGACTCGTAATCTGTCTGGAACCTAAAATGATTTGATTATTGGTACTGAACTACAATCTTTAAAAATAGTTAACTTAAACCATCCCGATCTTTAAAATCTAAGTTTATAAGTAGTGACGCACTATTCGAGTTGTAGCTGGACAGTTAACTGAAATGTTCCTAAATATCACTTACAAAATGGCTAATGTCAGCGAAAATACGTTCAATTTAGCGATAATGATATCAACTATTACGATTTTTTGGACAATTGTTCTGATATATCTTATATTTATCACACATTAAACATGTGCTTTTAGCCTTCGTTATTTTCAACACCCACAAGTACCTATTATCCTTCAGCAGGCATTTGGCCAAACTATACTTTAACTACTCTTTGTTATATCCAATCCAGAGTGTTGTGTACCTAACAGCAAAATGACAGTATTATATTTGGTCATTATAACCATTTCTTGACTGGAGTATGTGGATATTCCACTATAGTTTCCAGTCAATTACACACAGCGTAGAACCTGGCACAGATGTGTATCGAACCAACTTGCTACAACTTATTTCAGAATTACAAGGGAGGAAATCAACCAGAAGAGAAGTAACTGAGAAGAAATAACACCAACCGTGTTTGAAGTCCAAGCATGATAAATACGTTTTAAAGGGAATAAATAAAATAGAATAAAAAGTTAAGATCGATACTTGACTCAGAATTTAAGTGACGTAAGCAAAAGTATACAAACTCACCTCACGAGACCTGAAATCCCCAAGCTGAATGAATGGACTATAGCGCAATAAAGTATGAAAAGACTTTTCTGAACTTTTTGAACGTTCAGAAAGCAACTTTGAAATATCCATCTCTTTTAGAAATAAACTCATTGTCCATGGAACAAATGAAAATGAAGACACAGCTCTTTTCTCTTCAAACTCATCCTAAAATAAAACGAAAATCCAATAACTGACTACACAGAATATACCTTTTTACTAGAATTCTCCTGAAAATTGGAAATTGAAGACGGACCAACGTCTGATTTCGAATCATCATTCGTCTTGAATACAGAATTTTGGCTATTATCAGAGAAATCTTTATCCTCAGTTGTTGAACGCTCAGCCTTATTCAAAAACTCTGTTAACTTGTCTGGATCAGAAGCAGGATCTTGGTTTGACAAATTCGCACTTGAACAAGAATATCTTTGACATGAAATGAGACTTTTATAACGAAGGCATTTTATTAGCCGACTGAGCACATACGTTCTGGAAGACATGACCAAAAAGTAACATAGATCTGTGCAAAAATAATCTGTGTTTAAAAAAATCACACTATACATGAAGACGGATCATATTTAGACTCAGTAATTTAAACTGACAGAACAATGTGCTCAGCCTGAATATTAAAGCAACATTTTACTGTCCACAATAGGAGGTTTAAACGACAGAATATACACGAAATTTAGATTACTTGGTTGCAAAAGTGATCACTTTAAATGTAAAATTAATGAGACGGATGCAGAAAATCATCCAAATAATGATATTACGATTACCAGATAATACAAATAAAGCAAAACATAAGTCCTTCATTTTCAAGTCGCTGTTTGACTTATAAGCATAAAACTGGGAGACATGCGAGTTGTTTGAGCTTTAAAAAGGCTTCGGTGGACTATGCGAGGAAGTGGCAACAAATAAGTTATTTGGCTTGTAAACTCGAACGTAGCCATTACCCTACCAACATCAGAGATTATTAGCCAACCGTTCAACCAACGTGTTTTCTAGAGTTTCTATGTAATAATTTTCTGGCCTTCATATTACTTCCCTGTTGTCCTTTTTATTAACAAATATAGTAAATTGAACACATTCCACGTCTGTTTATTAGCCCATGATGTAAAAAAATAAATTGCTGAATAAATAAATGAAACAGAGTTTAACTGTATGACAGAAAACTATCGTAAAGTATTTTGTTTTCGCCAGGAAGCAAACCGAGGATTCAGACAAGACTTACTACAAGTCATAAGGAAGTGACAGGTAAGGTTTTTATGAGGAAAGTGTTCAAAGTAAGCTCACGATGGATTTGAAAGTAAATGGAAAATTTTAGCTGGACAACCAAATTTCATCCTTAAGCTTCGTTCGGTAAGATGTGGATCCAGTAGCGAACCTTAAAGTATCAATTACATAGTTACTGCGACTACCGGAATGCGCTTCTCTCCCTCTAAATGCAAATTGTTGCTTCAGGACTGGTCTGCGTCAACACCTGAACTAAGGGGAGGGAGTGAAGTAGTCGAACGCGTTGACAACTTCACCTAACTTGGAAGTCTTATCAGTCCTAATGGGTTGGTGTCTGATGAAATCTCAGCACTGATCCGAAAAGCTCGCTTGGCTTTTACCAACTTACGTCACCTATGGCGAAGGTGAGATATCTGTCTACTAGTATTTGACCACAGATGCCTTAGAAATATTGCTGGCGTCTGTTGGGATCACAGGGTAAGTAATAGTGAGGTTCGACGCAGAGTATTAGGGAATGATGGTAAATCAGTTGGTGAGGTTGTGAATCTTCATCGACTGAGATGGTTGGGCCACGTGTTACGTATGCCTAAACACCGATTACCACGACGTGCAATGCTATCCGGTATTGGAAATGATTGGAAGATAGTTAGGGGCGGCCAAACCAAAACGTGGCATCAGTGCTTGAAGTCAATAACTACTAGTCAGAGCCATATTGGTAGATGCAGACTACTTCGTTGGGGTCCACGTGACTATCGTGACCAATGGTTGGATACTCTTGGTGACATGGCTCAGAATCGATCACAATGGTGTAGGTGTATACACTCTATGTCTTCCCTTAAACTAAGAGATTAAAATCGCTTCATATCTTTCTTCCTATGAACTAATTCTTTCTTCCTGTACTATATCCTTATTGCAATCTTTCTTTTATATATTACTACCTCTGAATTAACTACTATGAATTCGGTGTCCATCTTGTTGTGTTAATGAGGTATGGCAGCTTGGACCGATGCATATATGTGCCTGGTCCTACGTTGTAGCTGGCTGACTGACTACTGCGACTACCTGATTCATAACTTTAACAAGGTCCACTATCGTGTACATATGGACTCGAAATAAAGCCAAAGAATGGTCAATGAGAAACCTTATTTTATTCCATTTGCTTGTGTTTATGTTACACAACAAATTAATCCAGGACAGTAAAAACAAGTGGTCCTTTGGAAGAAATTCAAAGATAACAGAACAACATACAAACGTAAAAGTTCCTGCGTTTGGGCTAGATTTAAAAGAGTTTTAAGACACTAAGCACCGTACTTTTAGGCATTACATGAGAAGTTATCAGGGTCAAGAAGCCTGTAAATTATGATAATCACAGAGTGAGTTTACCAGGCATTGTAAACCATTAGTTGAAAGCCACTCTCAACTAAATCTACGTTATTTCAAACAACATAATAGGAAACGTGTTGAAAAATAACAAAATCTCATTTGAGACATAGGAAGAGGGAGCAGAAAAGCTTATGAACTGACCAATTTAAGCTACCATTTGTCAGGATAGCGAGACGATATACTTGAAGTGCTAAAAGAAACGTTTAGGGCCTCTTTAAGTGGACTAACATTAAATGAAAGTATACTTTCATTACACTATAGCGTAATATATTACTCCGAAAAATGACTATGGATAAATATTCTCCTTTAATTACAATGATGACAACCACTAAACTCCAAAAACATGTGACGAAATTGACTTGGGCACAGGCTTGTTAAATACTACACGATTGATCTGAACTCAACTGCAAACGGCACTAGAAACAGGCTTTTGAGCCGAACTCGGCTTACTTCCTCAAGGTCATAGTTGCAGCTTTGAACAACCGCCTTGAATTAATCTATTTCAGTTCAGGGTCTTGTAAAGAAACGTGATGACCATCCCTAAAACAAAGGTGAGGAATTCGGTATTTGGGTGCATATTGCCGTTTATTTAATTTTTCAACGTCGCAAATAGGAACATGGTTTTCATTTGTGATTTGCTTTACTTATCATCAGCTATTTATATATGACTACTATGAAAATGCGACTATAGCGTATCCGAGCTTCTAGGATGAAAAAAAATAAAGTGAGCGCTGGACACTAAAGCGAAACTATCGGGGGAAATAAGGCTCTCACATGAACGAAAAATTTCCTGAGATACTTAATGCGAGATACTTAATGTAAAAACGCGTACCACAACCCAATCCGAAAAATTCAGAAGTTAATCAGCCTTCTGTTGAGTTTTTGACATAGGCTGACTCCAATGCCATCACTAAATTATTTTTCACTGTAGCGGTAAATAAATCTCTAAAATAAATAACTCTGTAAGTTTTCGATATTGGATGCTGACCATATGTTTTAGTGGACTCATCTAGATGAAGGCGCTCGGTCATGCATCCGCACCAGATCATGTGTGGTAATGCTGTGCTCAACATCTATAGCAATTGCTAGCCAGATTAGATCAGAGAATTCAGATATATTGGTAATCGCCAAATCAACTCTTCCGACCTCCTTGACTCTGTCTTTTGATTTCTCTCGGTGGGTACAAATTATATTAAATGTTGCTGGTAAAAGCGCTGTCAAACACTGAATACCTGTGCCATCTTCATTACTAAAGAGTATAGATCACCAATGTAAGTCATCTACTTGAATGGTCGCTGTCTACTAAAATTGTGAATCTAACCCAGATCACTTGGAAGTCACACCTCAATGTTACCGCCTAACGCGAATGAGCCCTCCATACTCTCCAGAGATTGTGGTTTCTTTGATGATCTTAGAAAGTAAACATGACGTTATTGAAGAAACAGACTATTAGGGGTGAGTTGGTGAAACAGGGTGCTACCAATTATGCATTGGTCAGTCAAGCCATTGACATGCAATTAAATGATCCGTGTTAGCCATCCTCAACCTTGGTGACATTCATAGTCTATTTGACGATCAATGGTCCATCATCTAACATAGAGATGGTTTGATCTAACGAAAAATTTATCTACAGCTCAGTAACGTTATAATATATATTAATTGAAGTACGGAAGCGTTATCCTTCTCTGTTCACCACACAAGTGTAAGAAAAATTCAGGAAGCATTTAGAGACTAGTAACAAATCTATTTTGTGTTCCACAGTTCAAGAGCTTTGACAAGTATGCAATACTCTATATCCTTGCATTGTGAGATCCCGTAGATATGGGTGTTGCCTCACAATATCCCTTGAAGTTATCAGCACTAAAAATCTTATATATCGACTATTCTCTGATCATCCCACTGAATCTAGTCAAAGTCCCCCTTTAAATTGAAAAAATTCCACACCTAACATTTAAAAATGAGACATGGAAATTTGCTTGTGTAAATATAGCAGTAATTTGTTATCGCTTGTAAAATCCATTAGTCTTACCTAATCGTACTTACGTTCTATTTTTGGCAATTAGGGGTTGTTAATTGCAGTTTATATCATTCTCAAATAGAATGTGGTCACCCTAGTAGCAACATATGCATCACAAATATCATATAAACTCATGTATATATATCTCAAATGATAAATATTTGAAATACACTTTTAAGGGATCTCAATACTATGTAGCAAAAAATGTATCACAAAAATAAATGATTCCATAAGCTGAAAGAAATCCAATGTATTAAGACACAACAAACGTCCTCTGGGCTTTTTTACAATTCCTGACTTTCTTTTCAACCATTTTCATCCTGATTTGGTCGCAAGTTATCAGAAGAGCGCCCAGCAACGTTAAGCTGTTTGAACTTAAACTTCTGGTTTGCCACGTCTTAAAGTCAATGGAACGGAGAAAACGCTGAAAATCCTTGAACAGAATCTAGTTGGATAGTACTGCCGTTTATTCGTTCGTTCTCTTGTCGTATATTTTAACCTTTGTTCAGATCTCTTTTAGCCACACCTTTTGTTCTTCAGTCTTCTTCTTCTGAGACTTAAGTATGTGATTTTGATTAAAAACTTACCTTTTGTTACGTAATTGTTTGTTCCATGTTGCAGGAATATTGTCCATAAGGTCGTGTTTGTCTAAGTTCAAAGTTACACCGTGATTCAGTGTGCGACTGTTAACCTTTGACTGTTTGAGAAGATTGCTGGAATCACTGAAGATAGATATCTAATCCCATCTTGTTTGGAACATTTTTATTGATTCCAAGGTATTAAATTCTTTTCTTTCAACTGCTTCTTTTGTTGTTTAGCACTCTAATTTGTGTTAGAGAAACTTTTGACTGTATAGAACAAGCTGTACGGTTTGACGTATTTTAAATTGGACATCGTTCTATTTCCCAAATTAGAACAGGTTAAAATGAGCACAGAGTTTGTGCTTTGATATAGTTTAATGCGGGTTACTCATAAACGGTTCTTACGCTATACAAAAGAACATAGTCTGGTCTATTCGAATAAATTTTGGTTCGTTAGTTCTGCGTTCAAACCGAATATTGGCAGCTCGGTCGTTACAGTCACCAGTACTCCACCAAGTGGAGTATAAGCTGTAATGGTAAATAAATCTCCCAAATAAATAGTTCTGTAACCCTTAAACATTGATGATGTCCTGACTAGTTTTACCGTACGCACCTAACTGTGGGCATTCGGTCACGCATCGGTACCAGATCACAAGACAGTTCGCCGTGCTAAGCATAGCGACTGTTACCCGCCTTAGACCAAACACTTTTCGGTATATCTATGGCCTCTCAAATATACCCTCAAACCATTTCATTTTTGACTTGACTGGGTTTTTATATACTCCGATTATAATGGTGTTAGGTGTGAAGGTGTTCTCAGATTCCAATTACCTGTGGCATCTTCAAGTACATATAAATGGTGTAAAACAAGATTCATCCTCTGCAAAAATAGTTAAAGTAGTAGTGAGCGAGTATCTAGAAATCAAATGTTTATACAATGCCATGTAGCCGCTTGAGACACACTTCGCTTAACTTTATACCTTCAATTTCTGAAACATCTCCAAAAGAAAATAGCGAGATGGTTTTTCACCGAAAACCATACAGCGAGCGAAATCTCTATATTACGGAAATTTGTAAATCTTATTCTTCTATTTGAAACCTCATGAACAAAAATATTTGTTAATATTGGATGGATTAATCGGAGAATAACACTCACGTCACTCAATTTCTTAGACACGTGACTGCGTAGGCTACTTTGGAAAGATGTAGTGGCATTGAGCCCTAATATGAGACGACGTGAGAAATAAACATTTAACATTTAACACGGAGAAAACTCAAACGATGAAGAGGGCGGGAAGAATAAATTTAATTTATTGGAGTTGATTGAATGACATGGCTCAGCCATGTAGGCATGGTCCCTGAGGAATGTTACCTTATATCTTTTATTCATAATAAATATATTTTTCTTTATCTAGCCTTGGCCTGTTTTCCATCATGTATTGGTAATTGTTACGATGATGTGACTTCCATGTAAGATCTTACAGATTAGGCAGGTTTGTTATTAGAGCAGTACTAATATCATAGTATACCATAATTCTACAAAGAATTAACAGAATGTCAAACTGTTGTTGCTACCAACGAGGAAATATACAGATTATAAATTGTAACCACAACAAAGTTTGCCCGAACGTGTGTATGTTAGCGCATATTCTGCTTAAACAGAAAGTCCTCTTTGATGTAGCTTAGTAATAAGAGTAATGAGGTCTTAGTGATCTAGATTTACTATTAATCATCATGGTTGCTTTGTTACAGCTTGTTACCCACTGTAGGAAGGCTTAATTTAAAAACCTGCGAAATGATAGCTGTGTCGAAGGGAACCCTAAAGAATCCACATACGTCAAATGGAAACTGGCCACAATTCGATCAGAGCATCACCAACAAAATATTCCAATCCATTACAGATTAAGTTAAATGATTAGTGCAATTTAACTTAGTCACTGGAGTAATACACCAAGTCTGTCAATCTAATACTAGGGTTACTCATTCATAGGGATAATTAATTTTCGAATTTCATATTAGAGCTTCAGTAACGGAATTGATGTCAGTTTCTATGCAAGCAAGGGATGATACATAATATGGTTTATGTTCTTTATTGTTGTACCAGTTTACAAGAATCATCCAGTAAAGGAAACCTTGAAAAACTGGAATTTCGTGACAGAAAAATATAGGGGCATTATATCCTCTGCAAACGGTGTATTATCTAAAACTGTATATTATTTTCGTTAAACGTTTTTTCATAACGTCGTCAAGAAGTTTGCACCGGTTAGAAAAACCGGGAATTGAATTACAAGTATGTATTTTACAATTTCAAGTTCAGTCGTCGTTATAAAACTTAAAGAAATTCTTAAAGCGTGAAATGGTAATTTACTGTTACCATGATGGAAATATAGTGGAACTGTAGTGGTATTGGACAATAGCCACACAATTCACAAAGCTGTGAACACGAGACTACTCAGAAAATAGATATTCAATACTTAACGCGGAGAAATACCTAACAATGGAGGAAGCGCGGACAATGAATTAAATAGACTACAGTTGATCGAACGGCATGGCTCGGCCATGCAGGCGTGGTCTCTGCTGAATGTTACCTTATATCTTCTAGTCATATTAAATATATTGTTCTTTCTCTAGCCTAACCTTGTTCTACATCATGTATTGGTGTGACTTCCACGTAAGATCTTATAGATAAGGCAGTCATATCATGACAAATCTACAGATTTAGGATTAGGTCTATTATTAGAGCAGTACTAATATCATAGTAGACCATAAGTTCTACAGAACAAAGTATACCACTGGCGGGGAAGCTGCTCATTTGAACCTAGAACGTTCGATATAAATCATCAGTTGGAATCTACAAAAAGACCAAGTCTTAATCAAAATGCGCAAACCGATTTATATTTT